CAGAATCACCAGACCAACCCTGGCATCAATATTTAATGCATAGACGAATGACAGACTTATAAATGTATAAGATATATTCTGGCAAGAAAAATAGTCTAATATGACACAGTGAACAAAACATACTAGCAGCATACATAATAATTGATTCAATATAGCTGCAATAATCTAGTTGAATAATAAAGTGCAAATACAAAAATTGTCTTTAACATTTAAATACAAATATATATTTTAATTTCTTAAAATATGACTTTTATAATAAAAAAAATAAAAAACTGCCCATCAGATGGCATTTAACAATAAATCCTGATATAAAATATATGATTGGGCCTTCATCACAATATTTATTTATAAAGATGTGATAGGTAGCAAAAAATACAGAACTCAAAAATGATTAAATCATTTAAAATTGCATTAATATTTAAAATTTAATTTAAAAAGATAATAATTCTACTACTGTATTGCAAATTAATCTAAAGACAATTTCATGTATGTAGGTCCTTAAACATTCCATAAAACAATTATTTTTAATTCTTGTTTTTTCACATTTTTCATTTTTTTATTCATAATTTATGTCCAAGTTATAAAAATTAAAAAAAAAAAAAAAAAAAAAAAAAATAATCATTTTAATGAAAATTTTTACAATTCCAAATTTCAGTATTGTGATCATTTCATATTTATATATTTTTTAAAAATATTTGTTCACAAATCAGCCAAAATGGTATTTATGTTGGGCTACAGTCTACTATTTTAATTTCTGAGGAGTAAATATAGTGACATTCGTGTTATTATATAGATGTCTATAAATTTTAAACATATTTTTTAAAATTGTGAAAAATGAAAAAAATTTAACTGTGCCAAAAATTTTCTTTACAAATATCCTTTAAAATATTTTTAAAAATTGTCACAATTTGAGATTTCATTGAAATTTGCTTCATATAAAAAGTCTGGAGCCCCTTCTGTTTGCCTCAAAGTTCTTGAAGAGATCCAGAGGCGGGTTATTTAATACAATTGACATGTTCTAAATTCTCATCTAAGTCTCTTTAAAACCGAAGAAATACATTGCCTTTTTTTTTTAACAAATATTTTAATGATAATTTAAAGATTGAATGAAACTGCTGACTCCCAAATTCAGGAATTCAAATTAAATGTGGGCTGGCTCAAAAGAATTTAAAACCCTTTCACTGATCAAAACTATTAAATTCCTTTGTTTATCTCTAGCAAAATATGAATAAATTCATAAAAATTGCAATGAGAAGACATCATTTGTCGAAAAAAAAACCCATTCCAGTTTCCCTATAATCTCCAACTATTCAAATGTAATGTCATTCGACATCTCCAGTTGCCTTGATCTATCTACTACCCTTCTCCATAAAAAAAAAATTCACTCCTATCTGATCTTGCTCCAAATCTTTTGTAACCCTTTTTTTAAGTCCTAGTTTAGGCCTTTCCTGCTTGGGGTTTTTTATTAAAAAAAATTATGTATATGTAAATATGCTCCAATTTAGAAATACTTATTTACTTTCTTTTGGATTCTCATTCAAATTTAAGGTTTCAAACATAGCAAAATGTAATTAAAATATTTCTGAACAAAACAATTTAACTCAAAATAAAATAAAACTTGATTATTTTGAAAATTTTTCATTTCAACATAAGAATATATCAGGAAAGTTTTAGAATGTTTTATGAAAATATAAAAAAAAAAAATATCAGAACTTATTACTCAAGACAAGATTTTTAAAAATGATATTAAGCAACTGATGCTTAAATTTATTTTTTTTTTTTTCAAAAATTTTCTGTACATATTTGTATGACGTTAGTACAGTGATTCTAAATCATACTAAAGACTAGTAAGGCTGCCTTAATCCTCTTAAGTATACCATGTCCTATTGTCTAAAAATTTTTTTAACCCAATTAACTAAAAAAAAATAATCAGTTTTATTACAATTTTCTAAATTTGTGGGAATTAGGCTAACACTAAATAACATAAAAAATAAGTGAAAAAGACTACACTCAACTGAAGACATTAGGGACTGAAAATTAAACTAAACATTTAAGAAATCATGAAAACACCAGGCACAAATTTTCTAAATAAGCTTAAGAAATAGTTGAATAGTGTTATATTCTGTGGTAATAGGAATATATATAACATAAGGTGGATAAAATAAGTAAAGGTTTATTGTAAAAAAAACCAGTACAATAAGAATAAAAGGTAAACTTATGAAAAGGTCATAGCTGAATCAATCCAGTAGTGAGTTATACTATTCTTTTTGATATCTCTTAACAGCTGGCAAAAATTGTGAATCCATGTCACCTTTAACAGATCCCAGCTAGACTGTAGTCTGTTGATTTACAGATACTTATAGGTAGTTACTACCTATAGTGTAGTCACTCATGAGGGTGATTCCATTATATCAAATAGAAACATTGAAATAAAATAAGTTCTTAAAAATGTGTATATTTAAATCTATGGTTTTAACCAACATTTAAAATGAATACCCTTTAAAAAATTATAAGTCTGCCATGATATTTTATTATATGCTTGTAGGTGTGCTGTTCCTTAAAAATGTTTAAAAAAAATTGCATCAATATAAATTTTACTAGATAAAGTTTGAAAAAATCAACTTTTTTCCCTATTAAGTAATCAATTTCAGAAATTTAGAATAACTATATTCTAGATGAGTTTATTCTGCAAGCCAATGTTGTTTTTACAAAATTCACATTAACCAATCAATATCAGTAAAATTTACAGGAGAAGATGATAAATATAGCATCTGAATTTCAAATTGAAATATCTGTTTTATTAGAAACTAGCAGTAGAGCCCGGCATTGCTTGGGGGATGTAAAAGTACAAGAGAGATAGATCAAGTATCGACCATCATAAAGACTGAAAAATAAAATTACCAAAGATTATTGTTTAAGGTTGACAGACATCGCATGTCTTAATTAGAGCAACAGCTTTTACAAATTGGTCAAACCCAAAAAAAACATTGTTTTCAATCGTTATGAGTCTATCCGATTGAATAGAATTTTATTATAAACAATTGTCTTGTAAATGGAATTTTTAAAGCATTCTGAATGTAAAAAAAAAAAAAAAAAATATGTGCAAGACAATAAGAAACACTACCTGCCAAAAAAAAAAAAAAAGAGGTTTTGTTGAAATCGGTTGAAAATGTAGGAAATTCGATCCCATATATAAATGAACACACACAAACAACAAACAACAACCTGGGTTTTATAAGTATAACTCATAACTCAATATTAATTGTATAACTTTATGATTGTCCCCTTTCACATAATGCCTTTAATTGTGTTTTCAAATTGATTTTGTGCAAAAAACAATTGTTTTTTCCAATTTTTGGCACTGTCAGAACCACCACAAGGTAATTTTACTCAGTCCTGTGAAGTTTTAAAGAAATCAGTTGAAAAGGTATGATAGAAAAGAGGATTGGAAATATGGTCTACATAATCCAAGGCCCTCGTTTCTCTCATAAGAGACACCTGAATCAAATCAGGAAATGACTGTTGGATGACTGCAACAGTACACCCAGGAAGAAGAAGTAGTTATGGATACGATTTATGACACCTTCAACATTCAAATACCCCAAGCAGCTCAAGAACCGTGACAATCTAAAAGAAAGTGGAAGTCCACAGACCCTCTCGTCATCAATCCAAAAAGGAGATGATATTGAGACTCCTGCGGAGGTAAAGGCTTGGGAGGGGGTGTTATGGGATCTACATTTATGGACTAAATGGACTCGTCCTCTTACTATATTATGCCTCTCAAGAGAGCAGTCTACAGTTGACTACTGTACTTTGCTGTCAGTCGGATGTGCAACACTTTTGTATTCGTTATTTTTGTTAATAATCTGTTTTGACTAAATTGCCGAGTTCGAGTTTTCTTTCAGACTTATTCTAGTTCCACAACAGTAAGACCTGTTACTAGTATTAATTTCTTCTTTCTCTAACTATTAACTTTACTGTGCTTACATTTTTTTTTTAATCATTTCACCCCAACCAAGGCAATAAAGCCACCAAGATGCAAAGGGTTACTGAGAGTGAAAAAAACTGAGAAAACATTATTGAGGAGAAAGGACAACAAAAGAACAGGATTCAAAAAGACAGAAGATAATGATTGACACTGCATTTAAATATTTGAAGATCATAATTGACAAGAAAACAAGAAGCTGGAACAAGCAAGAAGTGAGAGAGAAAAATCTATTAGAATAGAACTTACAGTTACATCTAACAATTTCAACAGTAAAATGATGAGAGCTAGCTGCCTATCTAGTACTACACCTAAATTCATAAAATTAAGGTAACAAAGAGAAAAGCTCATCAGGATAATTGCGATTAAAATATTTCAAGAAAGTCACATGGAAGCTACATTATGACAGTGGGAAAGTAATTCTCCTTCTAAAAAAGATAAAATTCTGAGAGCTTTTTGCTTTTTATGTGTGTCTATAGGTGTAAGTTATTTTAAAAGAGGATTATGGATAGGAAAAGAAAAGCTATTTCTACAAATACTAGGTTTCAAGAAACTTTATGGTTTGTAGCTAAAAATATCCTCAGAATTCTAATACTTTTAAAATTGAGTTTGAACAGGTATTATATTTTCTCTTAACCCTTGTATAATTAAAAAAAAAATATGTTGCAATTAGTTTGTATAATAACACCCCTAAACAATTTATCAATATTTTTAATAATGATATATCATAAGTTGAAACTCACACTGCTCATATAAAATATACCCTGAAAATTTTACAAACATTGGTTGATTAATACCAAGTTTATTATAAAAACATTAACTCACATAATAAAACCTAACTATGTAGTAAGTAAAAATATTTCTTTTCTTATTTCCTACAGATCATCACAGAGCCTCTAAGTAATGTGATTTAGTTCATAGTTTACACACATTCTCTCAAAGACAGTCTTGTAATTTATTGTTAAATCAGCTTATTGTGGAAGCCTTGTTTAATTAGATGTAATATTTATTCATTTTATGAACTTACTTGGATATTTAAGTTTTCTTCCTTCTTGATACAATCCATAAGTGGACGAATAACAGGGTTTAGCTTCTCTGGCAGTATACTTTGCATCACAGTGGCCATTGCAAAGCTTGATTGAACTCTAAGACAGAATGAACGTTTTTTTATATTGCCACAAAATCAACATTAAAAACAAAAAAGATATCAAAAACAAAAGAAAGTGATCAAACAAACAATTTGAATAGAATTTACTGAATTTTAAGAAAAATTATAAAATTAGTTTTACCTAATGCTATATGTTTGTTGTTCTTGCACTGTTTGAGAAACACAAACTTGTAGTTGAGCTCGTCTTTCTTCAAATGTTTGTAATGATTTTGCTTTTAAACCAGTTTTGAGAGCATCAAAAGTAGATGATGTCAAGGAATAAGCTTGTTCCAGAGTTAATATTGCACTAATAAAACATAAAAAATAAACAAAACTAAACATAAAAAAGACAATGTCTAAACTTCAATACTTAATTACCAGGCAATTTTTCAAAACATCAATATCAAAACAAGTCATGTATCCATGAACAGATTTTTCTGTTTGTACAAGCAAATGTTTCTTTTATCACTTCTGATAAACTGCTGAATAAACTGCTTTCATCCTCACAACTTAAAAGTATAATTCAAGAAATAAGTATTTAATAATTAATAATATCAATCATCAATAAAGCAACTGATCCCTCATAGCATGAATGAGAACAAGGATAGGGTCTTGAAATTTGTGAAAACTACACTATCAATTCTTGCAAATGAAAGGCTAAAAGAATTTGTTTTCAAAATGTAATGAAGTTTATATAACTAAAATATAACAAAGTTATACTTAGAAATGTTAACCACTGTAAAATAAAAATTTAGTATCCATTTTTCCTTTCCTCATATGAACTTAGGCTAAAAAAAATAAGTGCATGAATCAGCTAGACCTGTAACATACAAAGGGTTAATTTCTAGTTAAACAAAATTATAATATATTTCTTTCTCACCCAGGAGGGAAAAGTTCTTCCACAGGAAGACCTTCTTGTTTAAGTCCAGCTATAAAATCATGGCATTCTGTTTGCATTCTTCTGAAAGAAGCAGTAATTTCATCAAAATAAATAGATTCACTGAGACAGGCAAGGAGCCGATTCTTTAAGTTTTCAGGGCAAGAACATTCCTGGAAATAAAGAAAAAATTGTTAATTTCTTCATAATATCAAGCAAAATCTGCATTTATAACATTCAAATTTGAAACCTTGACAAATATAACATTAATCATGAAAGAAGCCATTATAAATGATATTGAAATCATAAAAAGTAGGGTGGAAAATATCTAAATTAACTAAGATGTTAGTGGGTAAAAAAAAAAAAATGTGAAATATCCACAAGGTAGGAATTTGTAAATGGCACAGACATTAATTAAATAATACTTAAGAATAGTTAAATTGAACCAGACATAATCAAAATATACAGAAATTGATATTTTGGATATTCAATTATAACATGCACACACCAAAAATATACAATAAATTCCAAGGCACTTTAGAATTGTTAGTTTTGAAATACAAAAATCAATTACAATATATACTCATGTATCATGTGACATTTGAAGAACTAATTTTAAGGGTATTGCATCATACATGAGATATAAAATTAATGTATATGCTCTTGACCAAACTATATATCCATTTACTGTAGTCAAATTAGCTTCAAAATTAGGTCTTCAAAGGTCACATGATACACACATAACTGTTTGTAACTAAATGTAGCAAAGAAAAATAAAAAAACTTTTGTACGTTAATAACAAGTATATGCAAGTATTTTGGTAGAGCTTAAATTTATTCATATTAAAAATAGATGTTAAGTAAAACATCTTGAACTGTGAAAATAATATGTCTAATATGATCTTGAAAAAATTGTACAACTGGTGTAAAAGATAAAAAGAAATTATTTTTAACAGTTATCAAAAATGGTATAGTTCAAAATTTACACTCTTAGGTTTTATGCAAATCAATGTTTTACATAAGATTTGTATTAACCAACTCATGTTAATAAATATTTCTGAATATATTTATGATAAATATATCAAATATTTTTTATTAGAAATATTTACAATAATTTATTTGGTGGTATATTTTATTATTAAAATCAATGGTTGGAAATAAATAATAGAACAGTTATTTGTATTTATTTTTTTTTAATTTCAGGTATATACTGCAAATTAAATATTTAAATTTTACATTCACATTATAATCTTATTTGATCTATTCAGTGCACCCTTGGTAAAACTTAATAATACGTAATACTACTTGTTACTTTATGACTAATCGTTGGACCGTTTCATGCCAACAATTAGCCTCCAACAAATGATTTTTTACAATTAAAATAAGACAATCGTACAACAATCTTGATGTATTGCCAGAATAAACTTTTTTTTTACTCTGCAGCTGTAAATAATAAGATTGACCAAACAAGATATTTAATAAACTTTCCTTACCAGAGTTTCACATCCCCACATGTAGATAACTTGGGCAACAACAAATCTCTGCAAAGCTGAATTGGACATAAGATGAAAAATCATCAATTTACTCAGGCAATCTACTGGTTCCTCCTCTTGAAGGTTGTCCCATTTAAATGAAGTAATACATTTACACAGTTTGCCTAACAATCTGTCAAATAAAAGTAGGTTATAATATAGAGAGTTAAAATTCATAATAATGGCTAAAAGTTTGAATTTTTATAGAAAAACATTTTCAAACACTCAGAATATAATTGTAGCTAAAAATGTTGTATTTTACAGTTGTGTTTTCTCACTGCACCAATTTTATGCAAAGTGATAAAGTAATCAACAACTGAAAGCATTTTTTTCTAAAACGAAAAAATAATGCAATTTAAAGTCATCTGTTGATAGGATAGCAATAATGGAATTGTTATTTTATTCTCACATTCGTAGTAACTGCTTTAATGAACAGTTATTCATAGTATATCTTCAAGAATAGATACAAAACTGAGTGAGAAATATAACTTATTTTAGCATTAAATTTTCATAAAAAACAAAAGTTAAACAAAGCAGTATAAGAGTTGTTCAAGCCTTGTTGCTTTTCTTGTCACTATAACATTAATTTGTGTAGACAATCAATAAGAGACAGAGGTCTCTTTCCCAAGGAAATAGTGGCAAATAGAAAAAAGAAAAAAAACGATGGCAAATATTTTATATAAGAAAAAAAAAAAGAAATGAAGACTCCTTTCTCTTCTTATGAATTTTACACCTGAAGAATGCGTTCACAAGTTTGAAGATTTGGATGGATACTGATTCTTCAAAAATCATACATAGATAGTAAAGTAGAGGAGTTTCATATAATAAAATAAACAATGATACAATGTCCAAATTTAAGCCCTAAAATGCCTGTTATAGCCAATAGACTATTATGAGACTCCATGGTTTAATGAGTTAGACTAAGAGAAGGTAAGCATAATTCTTGGAGACTACATTTTTGAACAGAATGAATTAAGCAAGGTTTTGAGAGAGTCTATCTGGTTTGTCTAAAGTTGTATCATCAATTAATTGACAAACAGGACATTTTGAAAAATGTGATCATAAAATCATGTCAGTTTTAGAAATGTCATTACTTTGGAAATAGCACAGTAACTAGACTAGTGACAAGTTTTCTAGGAAATTGACGAGGGATAAAACTAATTACTGGTAATCATATATCAGTCTTCTATCTAATTATATGCAACCCTGAAGTTAAGAGGGTATAGCAGCTTGAAGTGAAATGGAGAGACTGCAGGAAGAAGAATCTGTGCATCTGGAGGACAAACTTCAAAAGACAGCATGAAACATTTTATGCCAGTTTTGTCTTCATCAATTATGTGTTGATGTAAAAATAATCTTACATCCACCAACTCATAAGATAGTACACTGATCAACAACCTTGTAAAATAAATGGTGCAAAGATCAAGAAGAATAAATTTAAAAATTTTCAACCAAACTCAATGACCATAACATGTGAGCTATGTAAACCACTCATTTTACTATGATAGTCAAAATTAAGTAGTAATGATAAAAGCACAAGAGTTGAGAAAGCATTTATATAAATGCTACATTATTATTGATGTATGAAAAGATATTTCAAGGGAAATCCATCATGAACTTGAGTAATACACCAATGGAGCCAGATAATAAAGGGAAAGTGCAATCAAGAAATAAATACATTTAGTTGTGTTAATAAGTTAAGCAATATTTTAAAGAAAATAACATAAAAAACAAATGAGTTAAGTTAAATAAGCAGAAAATATTTTAGTATTTGAGGGAAAAGTATTTGAGTGAAAGCATTAATGAAGTAATAAGATACAAATATAATTTTTCATTTAAATATGCTAATTATGTAGAAGCCTATTGTATTTTTAAAAAATGTGTCACAGTTCTTTCAGATTTGAATCTTCAACTTTGTTTTATTATATTTCAGCTACTGTATCCTTGAGCCTTCACAGATGTCTATCATATCAAGTAATATTCATAGAGTAACAAACAGAACCTTCAAAGACATATATTATATTCGTGTCCAGCATCCTTCTTAGAAATATAAAACTTGACAATTGTCAATTTTCTCCTTGTGTTGCTTCTCTGCTCTTTCTCTCTACACTGTTTGTCCCAAAAAGATTGAAGTTTTTAATTCCAGGAAACAAGACCAATGAGTTTATGCAACAGACAGAGGTTGACGCACATGAATGCACACACACAAATATAACATTTATTGATTGAAGATGGAAAACACGATCTTTCGTGAAAGTTACAAACTGTGTCAGCGCTATTAATAGGAAAGAATCTAGAACAATGATATATGAAACCCGAGATGGCTGATGGATAAAGAATAAATTTCAAATCGGGTTGGCAAGGACTTGTTTATAAACAAATGCAAAAGGGCAGGAGGCGATGTTTAATTTGGGTCATTAAAAAAAAAAAAATAGACGAAAATAATATTTTTGATAAAAACATATTGAAGTAAATTGGACCCGGGAGGTAAGATCAGTGTATGTTTACTGCTAACGAAATCTGATCTAAACATAAGTTGTATCCGCTGAATTTGGTCATCGAAAAGACAATTGAAATGAACATTGAACTAATTAATTTTATCCACTAAGAGATTTGAAATAGATCTGAATTTAAACTTTGCTTATGGCGACACTCATGTTAAGCGCGTGAACAACCTGGCTTATAACCTTCGGTTTGCTATATAAATGCAAGTTTTGCTGCATTGGAGAGACTTGGGCGTTAGATGAGACTGTCGTTGCAGTGAGTCAATCCAGTGGTGAGTCAGTGATAAGGACTTCAAGAAATATCATCATCATTGTAACAGTCGCATTGAAAAGTCGCTGAAACTTAACGTTTGTCACTTACAGCAACCAACTGAAAAGCTACACTTCCACGTAGGGCTGGAATTACGAGTCACATATCCTCCCTAGTTGATTTGGAACGAGTTAATCACACACACACACACACACACCTCTCTCTGTTGGTATAACTGGTAGAGGAGTGGTCCTCTGTTCTTATGTTAATTGCTCTTCTATCCTTTCTGTAAACTCTTTCTACTGTTGTTGTTTTCTTATATAATATATTTTACCCATTGTTGTTCGGCTTCTGTAGATATTATTTCCTTGTTTGCCACATTCTAATTTTCCTGCCATGCCCAATCGACTGTGAATGTATGGACAACACCCCGCTTACTGGATCTAAAAACTAACCCAACGTGAGCAGCAGGCGGAACTTGGCCAGTGACCAGTTGAACAATCTATGGGTACTCAGGAAGCATGCGGACAGCTACCCCTGAGTTCGGTTCAGACCGAGTGGGCGCCTCAACCCAAAGAGGAAGACGCCAGAGGTTGAGGGGCTGAAGGAACGAGTGGTAGATTTATCTAATATAAAACATTCTGGTAATGAAATTTTGAAACTTTAAACCTATTTTACCCACCATTACTTAAGGATCTCATAAGATGTTCAATGCTTATAGTGAGCTTAACTAAATCTTTTGAGAACTGCATGTATACTATTTCTTTTAATCACCTTATTTTCCAATGTTCTATATTATTTTAACCTTGTTCAATATGTACTGATATGCTTCCTTCCTTCTATCATACACATTCAGCCAATCCTAATTTAAAAATCTGTCAATGACTTTTTGATGGTCTTTAAGCATTATTTTTAAGTGGTAGCTAGTTTCTCCTTTTGTAATCTACACCACAATTGCAATTTTGGGACATATTTTTCTCTGGTACAGATCTAATTTTAGTTGCTAAGAGTGGTACTGTCTTTGAATGCATTGTCTGGAACATTCTCAAACACACTTTCTGATGTAAAGTCAGGAAATTGTTAAGTCTTTTGTGCTTGTCTTCCAATCTTACACATTTTTAGTGGATATTCATGTTATGTGTGTGTCAGCTAGTTACTTCTTCCAAGCATGTCTCTTACACTGTTTTTTTTACTCAATGTTGAACAATTCCATTCTTTATTCTGTCTGGGCAGAAGTTTAGGTATTCAGAAACCTGTAGGTATGAACATATTATCTGTGAGGCCAAGTAGATAAACATATTGGTCTAATTTACTGAATTTAGATAAACATTGGTCTAATTTACTGAAAGTTGTTAGTTCAATCTCTGGGTCAAGCAATACAAGAGTATATCAGCTCAGTGAAGAAAAAGAAATTAGCAACAAAATGACATTTACAGACAGATTCCTAGGAAAAATGCTGGACATGGCAAAAAGAGAAAGGATGATCTGGATAAAATAAAGAGTTCTATTCAAACTTTTCTAAAGAAAATTTGATTATACAATGACTGAAATATCAGAATAAAAACAACTAATATAAGAATGTAAACCTGAAGAAATTGTTGTATAATCATATCAACTTAGTTGAAGAAAGAAAAGGCAAGCCTTGCAAACTTCTATACTAAGCTACCTCTGTAAAGGCTCTGTAGTGGGGACATGCTGCATGCTCCCAGTGCAAACCTTAATCTTTGATGATGTATAGTATCAAGTGTTTTGAAATAGGTTTTCCTGGCAGCTCCATATAGAAATACCTGTAATCCAGTTTTGAGCATACCATTGCTGGTATAATTGTAACAGTGTTTTTTTTGTCACCACTCCAGTCAGTAAACATCACTCTCAACAGCTGGATTGTTTTGTTACATTTGTTTCTCAGTTCCTTTATGTGTGGGATGAATGTTAATTTTGAATCAAAGATGATACTCAGGAACTTATACTGTTGCACTACAGGTATTTCTGTGTCCTCTATTTTCCAAATCGTGTTATGCATTTTGTTTTGGTTCTCAATACCCTAAACAAATCAAGAAATCGTCTACAAATAGGGAAATTTATATTCTTGGGTTTATACATTCTACAATTATTGTTTATTTTAATGTTAAACAAAGTTACTGAAATTATGCACCCTTGGGGGATTCCCATTGTACGTTTGTATCCAATAATTTACTTCCAATTCGTGTTTTATAGCTTCTATTAGTCAAGAAATGTCCTAAAAATGTTGATAGTCTATTTTATAATCCCATTTCTTTTAAATCTAGCATGATACCATATCTCCATTTTCTCATATACTTTTTCCAGATCAAAAAAATAACTATTAGATGTTCTTTCTTAATGAAGGCTTTTTTCATGCTGATAAATATAGAAGAAATCATAACTTACTTTGCCCCTTTCATTCTTGCTCTAGTAACACAAACATCCTGACCAACCTGACCACTGTAACTGTCAAAGCCACCTATATAGTCTTTATGCTCTTTTGTAATAACATCATTTCCAGTCCATTTTATAAAGGAATCTGATGTATGTCGATGAGAATTTTTTACACTCTGTTGATCCTAAAAGGTGAGAAATCAAAATAGAGTATTAAATATGATTTTACAGAAACCATTATGTTTATTTACTTTTTAAAGAAAACATTTTAAAATATCACAAATTTATACTTTTGAGATGAGGCATTGCTATTTATTTCAAGAAAGCTTTCATTTTAAACAACTTAAACTAATTGGTTTGGTTTATTTTGTTTTACGGCATATCAACCTCAATGGATAACTTAATACTGACAAAATTTTTAAGATAGGTTCAATTGAATAGAATATGTACTCTTTGTAAGAAATCAGTTTGTAGATCAAGTTTCATTGACATATTTGTATAAAGAGAGTTTTTGACGAGAGTCAAAATATATTACAGGTAATTTTTTTTTTCCAAAAATGTATTGCTGGAATTTTACTGTAAAAATCTATTTTTATACTTTTGTAGTGTTTTAACCACAGTTTGGGGTTTAACTATTTGCCCATAGCTGGAATCCTAACAGGTGCTACCACCCCAGGTCAGAGTAGACCTGGGAACAACAGCAATTAAGAAATGGTTCCATACTTGTCAAAACCTCCCAATCAGAGGCCTTGCAGCCAGATGTAGTTTATCGTCATACTCAGAATGCCAATTTACTCTGATACTTTCTTAGTTGAAAAAATTTGCTTTCTTATAATTTTACATTATGTCACTTACAAACACTTATTCAGATAAGTTGAACAACAAAACTAATTTTACTATTTCTCTTTCAGGGCAATAAAATTGATTTCCATATAAATGGATCTTTTCAGTGTTTTAAACCAGTATAATGGAAAAAGAAAACATTCAACTTATAATATATTCCAGTTATAATGCTTTCATGCACAAACCTACTAATATTTTACAATGAAGTCTGATAAAATTCTTTTTATCTTTGTTGGAATTTTTTTCAAAGATAAAAGCAAAACTTATTATAAAACACAAAGTGGCAGATTTTTAAAATGTAAAATGGCATTTAATATTGAATTCTGTAAGCACACCTAGGTACACACAACATTCTAAATAATTTACAGAACTTTCTTCTTGTGATTCCTAATCCTCTTTGAACTGGCACTCTCTGATTTAATGGCAGAATTTTTCTTTGTTTATGATGATGCAGTTTTGGAGATCACTTAGTGTAAAGTATAATGCTATATACTTCTCTAAAGAATTTATTTTCAGGTATATCGCAGTTAAAGAAGGATGGTGTTTTTAATGTTATTTCATATATCATTGGTCAACAAATCTAATACACAGCAATCAAGTTGTCCATCTTTAAAGACATAGCATTTTTCTATACCAAATGGTCTATGATGCTGAATGTTAGTTTTCTATTTTAAGCATCTTGATATGTAACTTAGAGATTACTTAGATGTTGATTCCATTTTTATCAAGCATACATTTTGCACAAATACAATGAAAAATGTAATTTTCATTTGTTCATAAATAGTAAGTGGAGCTTGAACAAAAAATTTGTAGGAATACAAGTCATAAGTGGTTTGCTCTTCATCATCACATTTTACAATTTCATTCTGTAATTTTTCAGATGAGTATTTTCTATTGGTGATTATAAGACATCAAAATGAAACCAGCTTTTCAGTGAAACCTTGTTAAATATACGAATGCTGAGAAGTGACTGTAATGTCAACTGAACCTGAAAATAGTTTTGTGTAACCAAGGATTTTAAATGACTGTTGAATTCACTAAAGATTTCACTGAGTGGGTCAAAACTATGTTTTAAATGTACTCATGTTAATTTATATGCTACCAGGTCATCAATATAGTTCATTCATTTCAAACTATTTTTTATAAATCACCATATTTTATCTCGATCTTCTGTTTCAAAGCATATCAAATAAACAGTATATTATTGTGGTTAATTTTAGAAGTTCATGTTATTTTATTATAAAAAAATTTATATTCGATCTTATTAGGATATTTTTCCAGGCATAAGCAAATTTCCATAACAGCTGAATATTTTAATACTATAAACTTTCTTAAATTTTTCATAAAAATGACAGCATAATTGTCACAAAAGCGGATTTCACATTAAACCATTAAAAATTACAAATCTTCTAAATATTTTCAAATCCAAAGATATTAATCAGCATTTAATATAAAAAAAATAAGACAAGTTAAAATTTAATAGCAAATCAATTTTATTACTTACTAATTCTATAAAAGAGAAAATATGATGTATAATGATTAACTATTAGTTTCCTAAAATATATATTTTTCAAACTTACTCGTCCACGATGCTTAGCTTCCAAAAAATAACTTTGGTCAAATGGAACATTTGCTGGTTGCATAAGGAGACAGAACCAAACTCCTAACCAAGGCATTGAAGCTTTAGTTATCAAATCTACAGGTACTTGCTTCAATATTTCACTCCAGACCTTTAAAAAAAAAAAAAAAGATTAAAAATTTAATACTTGGTATAAGCTGCAATTGTTTTTCTCATTGCATTTTTGATAAGGACATAAAACCTAAAGATATTAACCAGAGAAAATATTTTGAGAAGTAACAAGAGAGTATAAATTGAGGAAATGAAAACAAATTAAGATAATCACATAAAATGAAGAATAGAGTATCATAGAAAAAAACTTTTTTTCAAATAAGCTATATATTTACACACACTTGTCACTTTACTAGGCATACTCTTCTAGTAGTAGGTTGCTTTTCAAACTGTTTCAATTCTTCTTGGAATGATTCAATTCTTGGAATTCAAACTGTTTCAATTCTTCTTTAAATGATGTTCTGGTAGCACTTTTGAAATTTGGATACATGCTGTTATTATGCCATTCTTCAATTATTCTAGAATGGTTGGTTACACATCCAGGATTCATTTTCACTTTATCCCAAAAGTTCTCTATGGTGCTCACAGAATTGTCACTTTCGCTTTTTTCTGATCATTCTCTGTTAATCATTGAGATGGTTGAGAGTGAAAAATCTATTAGATCAGCAGTTTTGAAATACTCAGATCTGCCCTGGCACCAACAACCAAGCTGTATTCAAAGTCACTTAACTCACCTTTCTTTTCCAATAAACACCGCTAAAACATCACCAAATGGTCCAGTGTTTTTCTAAAATTAAAAGAAAAATATTTTTTTAAAAGTCAATATTTCTGAAACTTGGTATGGTATATTTTTAAGACTATTTCAAGCCTTGGCCGTTGTGCTCTTGTTAGAAAATTTTATTTTACTCACCCAAATACATGACCCCAAAATCATCCACTTTTCACCTATGTAGTTTATTTTGTGCTAGTCTATTGAAAATATGTCCTCTTCAATTTTCATAATATTTTTTTTTTAAAAAGCCCAACTTCTACAATGCCTGCTCAAGTTCACCAAAAGGTTTTGTGAGGGTTTTAAGTCTAATATTTAACTTTAGAAGATATAAAAATGCCAAATTTAGAGTTTTTCTTCCTGTGTTTGTTTTTAGGATTTTGGAAAATTATTATAATTAAAGACAATCATCCTAATGATTATGACCTCTAAAAAAAATGATATTGTGCTAAAAACTTAAAACTATTGGATAAGATTGTTTTTAAAAAAAAAAACATAAATTTTTTTCATTTTTTTTAATTTTTTCAAAATTTATTTTCATGAAACATAAATATTTGAATTTTGTTTCATTCAGGAGAAAATCATAATAAAATGAATATACAAATAGTCTATGCACTAAAAATTTTGTTGTGCATATAGACTAAATTGTTTTGGATATAATTTTTTTTGCAAAGATAATTTATCCATCTTGGACAAATGATAAACTCTGCCATTTGCTGTTCTAGGAACATCAGTGCACAGAATATTCATTAATAGTAAAAAACATATATCCTTAAAAATCTTTCCAGTAAAATGAATGTGATGGAAGAGCTGGGTGTATGAACTTAATCAGCAAGTCCTTATTCTCCATATCAATTTTCAGGACCATGCCAATCCAAATTTTATTGTTACACTTGCAACAAACATATCCAGAAACAAAAAAATTTACTGGTTTTCTTCAGCCCAAATAGAAAAGTCATATATTAGGTCATAGTTTTCATCTTTGCTACATTGTTTCATAGCCATTTTATCTCTGGTGAGTGGAATAAATTGATGAAAACTTCTTGTTTCTGGGACTGTGAATGCATTTTCAAATCTCATGGTGAGGCTCCTCCTCACTTCCACAACTTCTTCCTTTTCAACAAGAATGAATTTGATACCTTCAATTGCAGATTTACAATATTCAAACAATCTGTGGAAAGGATTTATTTAGTAGTTGGTTTTTGGAGACTTTCTTTTGACACTATCCTTTTCACTGTCCCACCTATGTCATCACACAGTTGTTTACCAGGACTTGTTGCAAAGAAATTGCATTGAGCCCAAAATCTTTCTGATGGTTGCACAAATTGGCAAAGTTCTTATAATTCTTGTATTGTACTGCACAACCATCAGTAAAATACTCAATTTTTTTTATGTTTGACAAAGTAGCTTTGATTACCTCAATTTTTTTTTTTTGTACTATAAATCATGTGTGAGTTGTCACTCGGTATAATGCAGAAACATTCATTTTGCATTGCATTTTCAAGCTTAGATAGAGTACCACTGGATGTAAAGTACATTGTGAAGTATTCCAATGATAACTTTGGATCTCATCTTGAACTATAAATTTGTAGTTCTCAACAAAATCTCCCAGGAACAAAATTTCACTATCACTAATTTCTCTTTGCTTTAAGTACCTTGATTGTGATTTAGCCAAGTAAGAAAAAACAACTGAATGGTGTTAATTTATTCAATTGCAAAAACTCTAAATCAATGTAAGCTTGACAGGATTCCTTTTGTTGTTTAGTCAAAGTCAATCAGTCAGTTGTTGTCCATTGGGAGAACACTATTGATTCAATATTATCAATATATCCTTCCATGGTGTCAAAGAAATTTTTCAAACTGCCCTGATGATTTAGGACAATTTTGTCAGTAGGACTCAAGTGTCAAGATCTGTATTTTGATTTTAGTTGATTCCACTGTCTTCCTGAGTCTGTCTATATTTCTGAAATGAAGGCTGGAGGCAAAAGCTTAATGGTTCTGGCAACATTGTTTCCATAAATATGTGTTCTGAACAAAGATGAGGACAATCAGTCAAATAATTTTGTCCACTGTCTTCACTTTTTTAAAAAAGCTCTATCATTTTATCAAAGCACTTAGCTTTATCTAAAATCTCCTTTTTGATTTTTTAAAGCCTCATCATTCAACAGCTGATAGTCAATGTTTAATGACTTGGCTACTTTGGTCTTTTCACATTGCAGAAAAAATTTTTCTTTTACCTAAAGTAGCTTTTCCTGATTAATGAAGCCCTTTTATTTTCAGTGGAGAAATTCCAATAGCAGAGAAACATTCATTGATTTTCTCTTCTCTGTTTCTGCAGAAGTACTTGTATCAGGCTCTTTCATTTCCTCATCTGATACATGTCTTGGTTCTTCATTATTATTACTATTTTCTGATTCTGCAGAAGTACCTGCTTCAAGTTCTTGTATTTCCTCATCTGATACCATGTCTTGGTTCTTCTTCATCAGGAAGTAGTTTGTAGATTTGTATTTGACAATTTGGGCAGAGTTTCTTATCTGGGATTAATACCAACTTTTCCTTGTCTACCATCTCCAATTAAATTAATTTCAAACCACCTTTGATTTGCTTTTTATGATTTTTAAATGGATTACAACATCTCTTTTCAAGCCATTCATAGTTAGTCAACAAGGTCTGGTTGTGATGGTAACAGTCTATATTTTATCCTTGTCAATTCTTGTTCTATAGGCAATAAGCTTTACATCCATTACATGCAACTGATCAACTGAAATCAATCCAACCTGTTTTATCATTGAATAAACCATGACATATTTCAACTGTTAGCTCAGTACAAATAGAACAATTCATCTTTAACTGAAATAAGAAACTACTGTACTTCAAATCCAGTGTGCAAGTAAAAAATCCAAGTAATTAGAAAAATACCACCTTACCCTTGGATACTGGATGGTAAGTGACAGATGTTTCAAACCAGACAAGCATAGTGTAGTTTAAATGTAATTTTTTAAAGACTCTTTTATATTCAATTTTATTATGACTTTCTTGATTAAAACAAAATCAAATTTTTTTGTTTCATGAAAATAATTTTGAAAAATTATTTAAAAAATAAAATTTAAAAAAGTAATGAAAGCATTTTTTTCAACTATATAAATATGTTAAAAACAAATATTATGTTTTAAAGATTCACATTTATCTTATGACTTTTTGAGAATGAAAAAAAAATCAACGTTTTTTTTTTTTTTCCTCATGAAAATAATTTACCAAAATATTAGTTAAACTCTAAACATAGATACTTGTCCCCCTAATGGGTCTGTACTTTCAGCCAAAAAAAAAAAAAATGTAATGAAAAAGGGTGCAAATTCTATTAGCCCAAGAGACTTAAGACCTAAATCTGACCCTGATCATATATTAAATCATCATCATCATGAGCTGTGTCAATTTGAAGACATGTATTTGCAAATCAAATGTAATTTCTCATCTTCAGTATCAGTGCTCATTTTGTGAGCATGCCCATTTATGTTTCTTTAACACCAACACCTGAGTCAAACTGATTTATACTGCAACTATGATGAGTGAACTTTAAAACAGTTCAAGTAAAGGTTTTTCTCCTGTAATAGGTTAATTAGTAAAACCATTCTGGATTTACTGAACTCTCTAGGAGCTAGAAAAAAATAGATACATACCTTTCCTAAGAGTATTTGCATGTTTGTAAATGTAATGATTCTTGACCAGGATTCTAACTTGGCTCATTGCTTTCTTATTCTGAGCCTCTGGTGACTAAAACTATTGTATATCCAATACAAAACATTTTTTTTTTAGTGATGTATAGAAAATTGTAGTGCATGAGTAAATTTCGGCTCTCGGTAGTTTGGAGCGAAGGGTTGAAGGTAATAAAATAATTTACTGAAACCTGAACCTTGCTATCTTATGCCAAGGAGGAAGCAAAAGAGGTCAATTGAAGGTGAAACAAAAGCAAAGAAAAACTAATGTTTTTCTACTACGATAAATTGTTTTGATAAACGTGAATTTTTTTTTTTTAATCAGTGGCTACTCAGAGCCGGTTGAAAACTGAAATACTTATGTTCACCGCAAAAATGTGTTGGATAAAAGCGGAGCCAACCTTTGACTATAAAAAATCCCTGCAATACGACCAATACCAAAGGGGACGCCAGGGAGTAGTAGGCGCGACCGTTGTGGGTAGGAGACGTAACGCCGGAAGACTGGGAGACGCTGTACCTTCTAAAAACATCTGAAAACTTGACCGAGCGTAGACCCAAAGAAAC